AGAGGAAGAAAAGAGACTAAATAGACACGAGTTAAAGGATACTAGTTTAGCAAATGTATTTAAAACCGTGATTCTGATTCTGCTGCAGTGTTTTTTCTCTCACAAATACATTAAATTAAAAAATTTTCTACCGGTGGTTCTCTCAAAAAGCTCCTGTCAATAAATCAGAATCACGCGTCAACCAAACGGGTCCCTAATGTTTGCTTCTTTCCAAAAAAATAAAATAAAATAAAATAAAATAAACACTAAATGGAAACCTTGAATTGAAATTTAATAATATTTTCAAAATATTACGAAAACACAACAAAAATAACATAGTAATTATCATAATGATAATTGATGACGATATAGCCATTATTTTAATCATATCAAAATTTACTATTTCTGTAATATTGTAAACATTTTTGTTATATTTCAACTTTAACATTTAAGAATCCCTCGCGGGCGCGGACAAAAAAAAGGTTCTTTAAACATATAGAAAAATTTAAGTAGTAAAGTTGAAATATATCAACGTTTTATTTTTGTTATCTTTATAATATTTTTAAAAAATTTATTAAATTTCAACTCTTAAGTTATGAAATCTTTTCATGTGGTGTAATAATTTAAAAAAAAAAAAAAAAAAAAAAAGAAGAAGAAGAAAGAGAGATAGGGACACAATCATCATTATGGGTCTATATTAAACGGGCCAACAAGCTAAACGAGAGCGCAAAATCTCTAATCACCAATCACCATTAACCAACTAGCCAAAAAAATAAAAAATAAAAACTAGCAAAAATGTTATTCGCCACGTGACATTACCGTAGAGAAATAACCGGACCCAAAAGTGGTAGTTATTTTTCCCGCCTTGCTAGCAAAACCTTGACTGTCCAGTTGCTAACGAACAGCTTCTTGAAGCAAAAAGAAAAATCGCCTGGAGTGAGAATCTCCAAGAGATAGAGAGAGAAATAATTTTCTTTCATTTTCTCTGCAATCAAACACTTGTATTGTCATAAACTCTTTCAAGCACATTGAGGGAAAATGAATCCGGATCTGGATTACGATCCATATAATCCACTTCCTGATATCAGTCCAGTTCCCGAGTTCGGAAAACAAGGCTTAGAGAGGTACTTGAATGTGGAAGCCACGTATACGGCCACTCCGGTTTATTGCGGGAGCGTATTCGGGGTATGGCGAGAAAGGGCCGTGATTGTCATCTTCAATGTAAGTCCAAGAATCACCTATTCAAGCGCATTCTTGATTTGATATTCTGTTTTGATTCTTCAAATTGTATTCTTCTTTTATCTCTCAGTTTCGTTTCTTTTGCTAGTTTTTCTTGTAAGAAATCTATAGAATTCGTGATTTTCCATTTGCTCTGTTCGTTAATTTTGTGTAGAAAGATTGAAAATGGAACTGTTTTTGTTGCTAATCCTGTTTCCTCAGATTTTTTTTTTTTTTTCTAAATTCCCTTTTCGCCGTTTTCTTTATTTTCATGGGATGTGATATTGCTGGGCAAATTTGTTGTACTGGAAATGAGAATTCTGTTTGCTTTTGAACTTTCCTTTCCTATATATATATATATATATTTAACATTATGTAACTTTCTAGCTGTAAAGGTCTGATCATAATTACAATATTCTCCTAACGACAGTCACAGAAATTAAGGTAATCTAGTTGATTACCGCATCTTTGACAAATTTCATAATCTCTTGCAGGTCTCAAGACGAGAACACTTTGATCCTTTCATACCCTATCTCGCCATGAATTACTTCGATCGCTTCATTTCACGGGAACAGAACATACCGGTCCTAAACATCGTCTTTGAAGCTTCTTCTTTCTTGAAGTTAATACCATCTTTAATTCATTACCTAATATCGATGATATTTGTCTTTTCAGCGAGTGCTGAAATATGTACAACATGACCTGGAACTTCTCTCTATCTGTTGCCTTACACTTGCTTGTAAGATGAGGAATAAAAATTTCTCAACTCCCAGATTTCTGGTATATATTCATATTTATGTTTCCATATTTGCTTAAAAGAATTTATCTTCACACGTTATCTTCTAATCATGTTCAGTGATTAATTTGTTTAAACAGGCACGAAATCGGGAGCTTAGAGCTGTTATGCCATGGGAATTCCTGACCATGGAGCTTTCTATTGTCAAAGGACTTGATTGGCATTTGCGTTCTGTGACAGCCTTATCCTTCGTGCGATTCTTCACACCCGTCTTTGATTCGACCTATGGCTTCAGGCATAGAACAATCAACGAGATCATTATACAATCTCAGAATGGTAAAATCTTCCAACAAGATTGAAGCTTTTGTTTTCTAATGTGGTTTTTCTATACTCTTTATAGATTCTTTTTAGCTCCTGAGAAAAAGGACCAGTCCAAACACTTTTTGTAGCTTTTGTAAAAGCAAATAAATGAAGGCCTTTTAGTTTCATTGTCATGTTCATCAAAATAATAGAAATTAGCACCTTCCGGGTCCTAATATCTGCAGGGTCAATATGACTTATTTTTTCACGTTTTAATGCAGACTTTAAGATGTCGAGATTCAGGCCTTCAGTTATCGCAGCATCAGCTCTTCTCGCAGCTTCCTCATTTCTATATCCTGAGCAGTTTGTGAGCTTCGTAGAGAAAATAGCTTCTCAAATAATCTTCAAGGAGGTAAACCTAACAAAACGAGTCTTCTTTTATTCACTATTGTTCTTTTTTTTTTTTTTTTTACGAGAACTTTTTTATTCATTTCTGCGGTTCTCAGTTGGAGGTGTTGATATGCATGGAGAGATTGATTGATATGTGCAAGGATTTGAGAATTCAGATTGAAAGTGCTGTACCAAAGAATGAGTACCTGCCGAAAAGGAAGGTACGAGCAGGAGATACATCTGAACAAGTCGCTGAAACATCTAAGAGTGCCGCTGCCGGAACACCTGATCGAGCCACATCTAAAAACTCGAAATGGAAATCTGCTATAATGTCTTGGCAAGTATTTGCTGCATCATCTGAACGAGATGCTGATCAAAAATCGAAACAAGAGGCGGCTGAAAACCCGGAACAATCCACTGCAGCGTGTAAATCAAAAGAAGAGACTGCTGAGTCATCTGAAGGACCGAGTGTTGCATCGACTGAACAAGTTGGTGCTAAAAAATCTTCCGAATCCACTGAAGAGCCTAAACAAGTAGCTACTGAAAGATCAGAAGAAGTGGCTACTGAATCATCTGAACAATCGACTAGTGTACCAACTGAACAAGTGGTTGCTCAAAAAGCTGAAGAATCCACCAAAGGGGCTAAAGAAGGAGCTACTGAACAACCAAGCGTTGTACCAACCGAACAATTGGCTGCACAAAAAAAGGAAGAATCCATTCAAGAGCCTAAGCAAGTAGCTTCTGAAAGATTGGAAGAAAAGGCTACAGAATTAATCGGACAACCGACTGTTATACCAACTGAACAAGTGGCTGCAAAAAAATCTGAAGAATCCATGAGAGAGCCTAAACAAACGGAAACAGAAAGCTTGGAAGAAGAGGCTACTGAATTAGCTGAACAGCAGAAAGCTGTATTGACTGAACAAGTGGCTGCCAAAAAATCTGAAGCGCCCACTAAAAAATCAGTAAAATTTGAAGTGTCCCCCGAAGAGTCTAAACAAGCAGCTACTGAATCATCTCAAGAACTGAAGTATGTATCAACTGAACAGCTTGCTGCCCAAAAATCTAAAAAATCCACTGATGGCTCAATACATGCTGCTGTTGAATCACTTGAACAGCCGACTGCTGAAGAATCTAAACAAGTGGCAGCCACAAAATCTGAAGAATCCACAGTTCAAGAATCTACTCAAGCGACAAGAGAGAAATCAAAACAAGTAGCTACTGAGTCATCAGAGCGATCCACTACTGAATTGGCACAGTCAAGTGCCAGCACAAGCTCACAGAGACCAAGTAAAGGGAATGAGAAAGTGGTGGAGATAACGGAGATACCAAAGAAGGCAGAGGATAGCGAAGATATGGAGTTCGACTTTGTACTTAGGTGGACACTTGGAGAGACGAACGCGGAAGATTTTGTTATCTTTATGGCTATGGAGGACTTGGATGGTCCTCTGCAACTGCCAGGTGAGCTTGCAAGAGTGAATCAAGCTCGTCGGAGTGATCTCAATGAATTCTGCAACTTCTGCTGCTGCTGCAACTGCGACTGCTGCTTCAACTGCTGCAGCCTCCTGTGATGTCAAGACAACCACAATTTTCACATAGAGATCAGAGAAAGTACATGTAAAGTAGACTAGTAACAAACGAAGTAGGACAGTAAAAGTGGTCACAATTTGGTTAAAACACTACAGTATATAAATTTTTTTTGCTTATTGGTTTCTTTTCTTTTTTTTTTTTATAGAGAAATGTAGGATTTTCACAAATTGTTGGAATGAATCCACTTGTAGATACTCTTAATTTCTTTTCAATAAACCCTTTTTTTTTTTTTTCTTTTCCTTATGTATCAATCAAGTAGGACTAGTTGTTTCCTCTTAGTCCTAATTCTAGGTTCGCAAACATCTAGAGATTTCAAACAAACATCTTGAATTCCTGCATTCGAACCGGAAATGTAAATGTAAATGAGGCTATTGGATAAAAAGTTAATTAGCTCATTGATGAGCCATTTGTTCTAAACAAGAAGAGCAATCAGAACTTAATAGTAAATGCCTTATTTGCTTCAAAAGTTTCAAATGTTATTTCCTGGGTCGGTATAACGTTCGAATCTTCCAGAGAACTTGGATGTTGGGCCTATTTTAGATGGGCTCACAACTTGAGGCCCACGTTAGATTAAGATCCAACAACGTACAAAGTAAACACGAGCGATGACTATAACTAACTTAACGAACAACGATGACTATAACTAACTTAACGAGCAACCGCCAAGTATAGAGTTGAAGCAAACAGAACCGCCTAGGGCTTAGAGAGAAAGATGAACCCTGAGAGCTCTTCCTACATTTCCCGCCATTGTCCTTCGTTTTCTCATCAGCCAAACACTGAAGGGAAAAAAATGACGCTGAAACAGGATTATGATCCATACGAGCCACTTCCAATGCTGGACAGCGAAGACGTGGGGAAGTACTTCAAGGTCGAAGACTCGTACATGGCGGCGAAGGGCTACGCAAGAAACAAGCACGCCAAGAAATATCGAGAAAGGGCGGTGCTTCTAATCTCCAAAGTAAGTTCGTTTTCTCGCTTATCAAGAAACTGGAGAATGTTGATCCTTGTTTTGTTAAATTTCACCAGTTTTTTTTTTTTTTTTTTTTTTTTTTTTTCCTTGATTCTTTGCAGTACTCAAATTACGAAGACTTTGATCCTGTGATACCCTATCTTGCCATGAATTATTTCGATCGGTACATTTCGAAGACGCCTATACTGGTAATTAATAATTAACATCCTTGAAACAGAATTAGTTCTACCACATTCTTGGCATCTTTATCTTTTTAATACTAATACGGGAGATTGATTCTGTTTTTCTTCAGGGATTATCAAGAAATGGAATACATAATGTAGATCTCACCGCCCTAGCTTGCCTTGTACTTGCTTGGAAGATGAGGGACTTGAATTTCAAGACCCCTAAATTTCTGGTAAGTTCGCAATTTATAATGTGGTTCAAAGAAATTAAATCAAGTCTTTGTTCTTTAATCTGGCTTTTTTTTTAAAACAGGCAGAACGGCAAGATCTTGCTGGGGTTTCGACGTTGGAATTGGTCAATATGGAGATTCGAATAATGCACTCACTCGATTGGCGTATGCGCTCAGTGACAGCCTTCTGTTATTTGCCATACTTTGAGCCTAAGTTCCACTCGACGTATGGCTTCAGCCGAAGAACTCTCAACGAGATCATTATACAAATACAAGATGGTAAAAATCTCCCAAAAAGATTGCAGAATTTACTTTTTTGTTTTTTATTTTTTTTCCTTGTATGGTTTTTGTAATTCTTCATTAGTTCCTCATTAAAAATATCTTTATCAGCATCACTATCGACTAAAGAGGACATGACTTTTTTATTAAAGAAAAGATTCAAACGCTTTATAGCATTTGCTTAATCAAACTATCCTGAAATGTAGTACCTTATCTCCGTTTTTTGACCCGTGTTCGTATTTCGACAGTCATTGGGATGGTGCATTATAAGCCTTCAGTAATTGCAGCATCAGCTCTTCTTTCAGCTTGCTACTATCTTTATCCCGAGCGATATCAGAGCTTTTTTCATCGCATAACTTTGGATGATATCTTCCAACAGGTAAATCTAATCAAAACATTCATAAAAAGTCAAGTGATTCATTTTGTTTCTTTTAATGAGAGCCTTATCTGAGTTTTTTTCTTTTTTTTTTTTTTTGAATGTTTTGCAGTATCGTAATCACATTGAGCTCTGTGTGGAAGGTATGATAAGCGTGTGCAACAATTTGCAACTTATCATCGAAAGTAAGGTGCCAGAGGAAGAAACCTCACGGATAAGACAAGTACAAGCTGGGTGGAAACAGGAAGGACCGAGTACACACTCAACAAGTATGACAAGGCTATTGAGTACGGAGGAGCGCAATGAAAGACTGCAGTTTGACTTTCGGCTCAGATGGAGTATCGAGAATAGCAACGTCAATGCAGAGGATTTTGTCATTTTTAGACCTCTACCTAAAGACAGACCTGTGGCAGAAAAAAAAGCAGAGGAAGAGCCAAAGCCACAGCCAGAGCCATCTCAAGTTGCTCCTCAAGTTGAAGTGGGACCCAATAATAGGACTCCCCACAGCAAAGAATGTTGCAGCCTCCTCTGATGTCATTGCAAGAGCTACAATTTTTCTCATAGAAAATACATTTCAAAATCGAATAGTAACACAATTTGTTTGAAGATAGAAAGTATATTCCAGGTTTATCGATAGTAGAGTTTCGTTTCATTAGTGACTATAAATCTTGGTTTAATTTCAATAGAGATTTGTTTTTGATCTGATATTGAGGCTTAGCTTTGTCATGGTTTACTTCACAAAGTTCCTGGTTTATCGATAGTAGAGTTTCGTTGCAAGCTAACCTTTTTTTCTACTACTATTATTGGTTTTTAATTTGTGCTAGCCACTTACAACTGCCATTTTCAAAGTTTGTGTCTTGTAACATCTGAAAACATCATAATTCAATATACCAAAACGGTTAGTAGACAAAATAAATAATTCATGATGCCGTATACTTTAAGCAACAAGAACAGTCTGAAAGCAAGGACCTATTTACATGAATATCAAAAAACCCAAAATGAAGAGTTTACAACCAGGCCAAAAAAAAAAGGGTATAATTATACGTCAGCGCTCTTCACTGGTTTTATTATGTAGCATTTGCATATTGGGCCTATTGAAATTGGGCCCAAAACTTGTGCTTAAATTGGCTTAAGAATAACAAATTAACGAACAACTACCAAGAGAATTCAAAGCAAAGAAGAAAACCGCCAATAGAGAAAGACCCTTAAAGAACAACATAAATTCCCAGAGAAGACCCCCAGAGCAGATTCTTATACATTTTCTTTCTCTTCTCAACCATTTTCTTTCACTTTCCTTGCAAACAAACGATACACACTCTTCTAGTTCTGTCACCTACAACAAGAAAAAAATGCATCAAGAACTGAATTACAATCCTTTCAATCCAATTCCTACCGAGGAAAACGCAAACGAAATCGAAAGTAACTACGAGAGGTTGTTCGACATGGAATCTTCGTATTTGGCTGCAAGCGGCTACTCCAGAAACAGAGATGCCATGTTATTTCGTGAAAGGGCTGTGCTTATAATCTCCAAAGTAAGTTCGTTTCTTGATATAGTTCTTTTTATAAAACCTCACTAGAATTTTTGGTTTTTTCTTGACCAAATTTTTTCTTGTTCTTTTCAGTATGCACAATGTGATAACTTCCCACTCATACCATATCTTGCTACATATTATTTCGATCGTTACATGTCAAAGAAAAATCCTGTACTGGTATAATTTATTGAACATCATTTTTGAAAATTGATTGTTTTACAATCTTGGAATCTTTCTATGCAATGTTTGTAAACTGGGTTAATGTTATTTCTGATCAATATTGTTTTAAACAGGATTATCCGAGATATAAGCAACATGAAATAGATGTCATCGCTATCACTTGCCTTATACTGGCTTGGAAGATGCAGAACTTAAACTTCACTACAACCAAATTTTTGGTAACTTTTATTTCTTAGGATATCATGTTTTCTTGCTCATTCTTTGAAAGGAATTTGATTTGATTCCTTGTTTAAACAGGTGGAGCGACCAGACCTCACTGAAATTACCGCCGAGCAGCTGGTGACCATGGAGATAAGAATTGTCAAAGAACTTGATTGGTATATGCGTCCAATTACAGCCTTCTGTTTCGTGCCGTACTTTTGTCAGAAGCTTGAATCCAAATATGGCTTTAGGCCTCGAACTATTTGCGAGATCATTGTACATGCACAAGATGGTAAAATATACTTACAACATTGAAAACTTTGTTTGCCTTGTAAAAGTTTTCTATGTTCTATATTTGCTGCTCTGAAAAAAAAAAAAAAAAAAAAGGAAATTATGACAAAAAACTTGCAAAGATTCGAATTTAATAGTTAGTATCTTAATTTTTCAATGCAGGCATATGGATCACAGAATTAAGGCCGTCGGTTATTGCACTATCGGCTTTTCTTGCAGCTTCCGACTACCTTTATCCTGGGGAAATCTTTAAATTTTATACTCAAATACTTTTTGAAAGAAACTTCCTAGAGGTAAAAGCCTAAGACAAACAAGTCTTAATATCATTAATCGGAAGTTTATTGCTTCTTACTGGATTTTCTACTTCTTTTGTTCTACAATTTTAGGTTCAAAGGGATATAGACGCCTGCACGGAGCATATGATTCGTTTGTGCCATGACTTGAACCTTATGGTTGAAAGTGCTAGGCCAGAGAATAGGCCTACTGTGACGTATAGGGTACAGGCGGGGCGGAACTACAAAAGAAGCAGTCATAGAGGAGAAACATCAATATCAGCACCAGCATTTCGTTATAGAACATTACCCATATCACGGCCTGCCAAAGGGAAAGAAAAAATCTGGGAGATACTGGAAAGCGAAGATGTTGATGTGGAGAAGTATCATATGACCAAGATACCGAGGATGGCAGAAGATAGCGAAGAAATGCAGTTTAGTTTTCGACTCAGGTGGAGAGTTAAGGATACCGATTTGAGTGCAATGCATGAGTTCCTTGCTGAGGTAGAGGCTAAGCAAGAGGCAGAGGCAAAAACAAAGGCAGAGGCAGAGGCAGAGTCCGAGAGAGACACCGAGACAGATTCTGATCTCGTCGAATCCCACAGTAATCGTTCGGATAACAAAGACGGTCGCTGCCGTTGCAGCATTCTTTGATATTGCTATGAACATTAGATTAGTACAGACACAAAGGACATTGTCTTGGAATATGTTGACACCTTTGAGATCATTATTATTTTTTTTTTCGTGCCGAATTTGAGCATTAATGCTTACTTGATAGTTGGTGCCTTGGCTTGGCATATGCTTACACTTGTTTCATTTATGAAGGGTGTGTTAATTTGCATAACTCAAGTCATGACTTGGGCTGTGCATGTAAGAGAAAAATATTGTAGCAAAAAAGTTAAATTTGAATTTATGTAAGAAAAAATACTGTAGCAATATGACTTGAGTTTTGCAAATGAATACACCCAAAATGTTTTCTGCTTACAGCATATGGTTTAAGTTCTTTTGAAATATTGAATGAAAATAATTAAAAAAAAAAGATTGATTTTGATATGAGGGGAAAAAAGAGAAAGAGCGAGAATGTACTTAAGACTTCTGTTGCAAGAAACTTGGTTGAATAAAATAGGACTCCATGAAGAGAAAATTTGCATAAGGAATTTTCAATTGATTAAAATAAAATCCAGAAGTGCATATGCTTATTAATAAGGAAAGCATAAGACTGCTTTAAGAATGTAGCTGCTTATCTTTATCTGTTTTATTTTGTTTTTCTTTTTTTTTTTTCATTTCTTTTGCATGGTAATGTGTGCTCACTAGTAGCTACTTAGATTCTGTTTGTTTCATAAGTTCAGTTACAACTCAAATCTTCTTTCTATAGTGTTTTCTCTTGTAAAAATTTGAATTTTTGTTCTAACCTATGAGCTTTGGCCCTTAAACTACATGTATCACAATTTGGATTATATTCTGCATTTATTTTTTATTTTTTTTTTACTTTTCTACCAAACAACAATATGATTTCAGATTTGGGCAATTTAATCTCCAGGAGAGATACGTAATATTGGTTTGCTTTCAATGAGCTTTTATTAGTTAAATGAAGCCATATTCTGTAATTAACGCAAGTCCAAAGCCAAGATACCAAGAGGGATAATATATGAGACAGAATGTAAAGACCATAAATATACACACACACACACACACACAAATGTTTACAATAAAAGTTGAAACGACAATAAAGCTGCCAAATATTATTTGTGAGGAGTGTCTTTAAGTTTATCGTGGCAAAAACGGTGCAATGGGAGGGAGAAAAGGGTCCTCTTTGCTTGGTGGACAGCAAGACTAGCGCTGCAGCGCCCAGCAGAATCAACACTCCCTGGACGAACCAGGGAGCACAGTATTTTGGCGCTGGTAATTACTGGGATCAGCGCCGCGGCGCCAGGGCGTTTTTCAGCAAAACGGGAAACTACCTTTTGGAGCCGAAATTGCAGTTTTCGGTTCAGGAAACTTGCCGAATGAATCGTGCACGACTTGGAGGCTATTCAAAGGACTTTAGGGGTTATTTGAGGTTTAGGAAACATAGAGAAACACATTAGAGAATCAACTTTTCAATCGGGATTGTGAGAGAACAATTGTTGAAGAGAGAACGAGTGAGAGTGAGAGAGAACTGAGAGGGGATTATTGGAGAGTACTCTTGTATCATTTTTGTAATTACTTATGATTAATTATAGTAGACGAAAGTACCATATTGCAGGATGTAGGATCTCATGTTGAGGTCTGAACCTGGTTGTATCGTTCTCTTTACGTATTTTTCTGCATTTTATTTCGACTTCGGATTATTTGTTTGATTGTTATTTCTCTGTAAACGGTTGATTCATGTGCTTGAATCCGTGGGTCCACATCACATTATATAGACATCACTGTCTAGGCAATTTGAAACGACAGAGGGGGCAAGTATGATGCCCATCTAGCCACTGCAAAATGCAATCAAAATGAAAAAGATGGGAACAAGACATTCGAGTGAGGTGGGAACCCAACCATTACCTCTTCCATGCAGATCACACACTTAATCAACTTTGATTCATCTTCATTTTCGTCTTCATTGCTTCTCTCGTATCTAAACTTCTCAAATGCCTCCAATACCGATTTAGCCGCGGGTAATGACCCAAACGCCAAATGCCGTCGACTGCGAGGAACTTTCTGGATGATAGTCATCGAAAACTAACCAAGGTGACGACGAGTAGTACAGTAACTGTTAGATTGTAATATATCTCTCAATTTTTGATATCACAAAATTGGATTAAAACACATTCGGGAAGAGTGGGCTGAACAAGCGCGCGCTGCAGTACACAGGAGTGCGCGCTGTAGCGCACGGACGCGCTGTAGCCTGCGCAAAACAGACCTCTCGGGTCTATTTTGCTAGGCCTGCGCGCTGTAGTGCACAGCAGCGTGCGCTGCAGCGCACGGACGCGCTGCAGCGCGCCTGGACGCTGCAGCGTGCCTCTTGGGCGCTGCAGCTAAAATTGTTAACGAAAAATGTGTTTTTGTGTGTTTTAGTAATCTGAAAAGGTCTCGAACCATTGCATCTATTTGTGATATGTTTTCTCACATATCTGAGCACTTATTAACAATAGAAATAACTATTGATATAAGTGCATCAGCATATAAAAGATAACCATCAAATTGAAAAGGTATCTTTATGTGAAAGGTTGTAACACTTAAAGAGGATTGATGCATCCCTGTCTTTATTTGACGGACTTCAGAAAATACAGATATATTTTTGTTCTGGAACTCAATATTTTTTGCTGGATATTATGTTCAAGGGTTTGTTGTATCTTGGGGGTAATTTACATTTAAAACTCATTAGCAAACTTTGAGAAGTGAGGGCAAATAAAGCCTTAAAGGAAAGTATTCCAATACGCCTCAAACCCTCTTTCTGCTTTCTCTATTCTTTTCATCCTCCCAATTCTGAAATTCTCTTCAACAATCTTTAAGGTTTTAAACTTGCTGCAATGGAGGTTGAAAAGAACATGACGTCTTTCCTTAATCCAAATGTTCAACTTGATCATTTTGATGGTACCAACTTCACCCGCTGGAAGGGAAAGTTGTTCTTCCTTCTCACCGTGCTTAAGATCGCCTATGTGCTTGATCCAAAATTAGAGCCACTTTCTGAACCAAAGGAGGACGATTCCGAAGAATTGAAGATCGCAAGGAAGAAGCGTGGAGATGATGAAATCATGTGCCGGGATCATATTCTCAACACTCTCTCTGATAGGCTCTACGATCTTTACAA